ATGGATGGATGGATGAATGAATAAATAAAATATTCATATCATAAATAAAATTTTCTTTATTTCACACATTTATCATCCTATTTATACTTAGAACCTTTAGAAGACTTAACGCGTTTACCAGTACTTGGTCTTGACAGTTTTAGAGCCGGGTTAATACCCCTAACAGCCATTCCTTCTGACGTTAGTGATATACGTCGCTGTGAATGCAAGCTCTTTCCAGGAACTAAGCCCTTCTTAGCTGCCTTTTCAGCTGTTGTTAGCTCAGGCTGAGTCTTATTTAGGGTATTTTTGCATGGGGGTTCAAAAGTCTCTGCAATATCCACAATATCGTAGCATTCTGCTGCTTTAAGTGCATACTGCGACCGCATGGCTCGTAAAGTAGGGATGTTATTTTTGCAATTATGCTTTCTTATTCCAGCAGATTTTCGAAGGTGACATGCTTCACAGTGTGGAATTTTGGGCGTTTGTTGCTGTTGTAGTTGTTCTTGAGTAGAGTCATGCTGACTTAGAGATGACACACTCCCATTAGTTTTTCTTTTAGAGTTTTCAACTCTGTCACCATTGTCAACCWTTTCTTTCTGTCTCTTCATCGTCTCTGGGTACATAGACCCAGGAACAAAAGATATCCCAAGAGTATATCCACTGTTACGAAATGTCGTAATATCCGACTCCTCGGATCCAGATACAGGGTTCGAAGTAGTACTACTTCTTCCAGCGGAGGAAGTCCTTTTAAGTCTATTAATTGAAGATTTTGCTCTCTGCAGTGATGTCCCTGGTGTTGCCCTCCACGAGGGATACTTTGCCGAGCTCCCTCGAGAACTCACCATTTTAGTATTCTTACCATTTCTAGTGTTAACATGTTTGTTTGTTGAATTTGTGGTAGCTTGTTTGATTTTCTCTTCCCTCAGTTGTTCCCATAGAACTGTTTCTTCCTGTAGGTTCTCTAGCTCTTCAAGTCGGTGCATGAAAGGGTCCACTTTCTTCGAACCTCTAAAGCATGCATCCTCGACAGTTTCGTCAACCCAAGTCCTAGGGTATGGATCGTGAAACCTAAACTCCATATCATCTTGTTCAATCTCTTCAGGAACGAAAAGCTTGTCAAAGTCCGGGTCATTTTCTATCCATTTTTCTTTAGCAAGTTCATCAGCGTCCCGGAATTGTTTTTCTCTTTTCTTATCCAACGTTCCACTGCTCGATGTGCTCTTTGCACTGGATTGACGAGTGTAAACTTGTGATACTGAAGATCCTGGGCGGGATGATGTCACTGATGATGGGCGTGGTGGGGTGGAGTGAATCTCCCTTAAAAGTGTAAATGTACAAGGTTAACATTAAGCAGAGGGTCATATGTTGGATAACTCTTAAACTTATTTCAACCACATACAGTACTACTTTGAAAATAYGATAAACTGTGATAAAATAATAATAAACACTTTTCATTTTTCGTGATCAAAACAACCAAAGGAAAGAGAGCATACTAGTTGACCTCAGCTTATTTGTCTGTCCTCTTACTGAGGATAAAAAATAGCCAATCAGCAAGCAAGAAATTTGTTGTAAAAAGGGTGTTTAGAGGATGAAAACATTTGGTTACCCCTCTTAAATAACTCAGCCCTACCCACCC